CCAGTATTTAATATGAACTCAAAAGTCAAAACACTTAACACTATGAAGTATTTAGATTTATAAATCTAAGTACTTAGTATTTTATAAACCTTAATTGCATATAAAATAGTTTATAATTATCTTACCTTTGTACTTTTACTGTAATTATCTCTTTAGTTTGTATTTGTTCACTAATCTGTATTTTCTTATTTCAAAATAAACTGAATTTCATATCAAGAAGCGAAGTTTGTCTGTTTGTGTGCTTATTTAAAGGCACAGTTCAGCCTTCTGGGTGATGGTTTTTATGGCGCATTACAAGACTTTTAATTGAAAAAACTAACTAGGAAAATCAATTAAGCATAATTCAAAATCAGTGAACTCAATGTTAAAAAACATTAGAAATGTTTAAAAATGTTAAAAACATTGAAATCACTGATCTTGAATTGTGCTTAATTGATTTTCCTAATTAGTTTTTTCAATTAAAAGGCTTGTAATGCACCTTAAAAACCATCATTCAAAAGGCTGAACTGTGCCTTTAAATTTCTCTCCCCCCCCCTGGAAAATGGCCACGAATAACAGCGTCGAAACCGATTGATATCAGGTTGTTTACGTATTGATAAAACAAGACTGTTCGCAGTTGTTGACAATATAAAACATCATTGATATCAGGTTGATCTCAGTTGTTCCAACAACGTTGTTCAGGCCTTGTTCGTTCATCAGGCGTCAACAACATTGTTCGAACAAGCGTGAACAATATTGTTGACAACATTGCTGCAAGTGGGCCGCACAATATTGCAGCATCCTGTTCAGAACCAAGTTGCAGCAACTTGTTGACAACTTGCAACAACATGATGATTTTTACGCGTGTAGCTGCGTATGGGTTTGGTCTGCGGATACTTTGGTTGTTTGGAAAATTATTCCTTACGTTTTGTCCTTGCAGGTAATTTTGTGGTTGAGATAACGGACCCCTGGAAGCATTAAAATTCCCACGACTCTGAGGAAAGTCTGGACGATCCAAATCTAGTTGACAAAGCAGCGACTGGCAATATGACCAACTTTATTACAACGATTATATTACAAATTGGCCGCCCGTCAGGGATACGGCGGTTACGCGAATTGTAGTAAGAAATTGCAGGTGATTGTGCAGGTCCTACTCTTTGGCTATTCGGTGGGATAGACTGAAGTTGATTTTGTAAACTCATAAATTCTTGACGTGTAACATAGTTCGGAGCATCAGTATGCGTATTTCGCGTTGTTTGTGCTGTTACGTGCGATGAACCGAGATCTATAGCTGAAAGAGCGCGTGAACTTTGATTCGGTAAAACTGAAGTTGATGGACGAGAAAGGGAGTTTTTTAAACGTGCGGCATCAACAGCAGCGGCATAGGTATCTGGTAATTGTAAAATAACGTGTTCTTTTAAATCCTGGCGTAAACCTTGAACAAAACATTGCATGGTTTCAGCATCTGTTAATTGTAATCACGCGGCTCTAGCGTCAACATCATCAAGATAGCTTTCGAGTGGTTCCACTGGACCCTGCGTGCGATTATTTAGTTCTTGGCGCCTTAGGAATTGTTGGTGCGGCGATACGAATACTTGCCTTAAAGCGTCTTGTATAGGGCATCTAAATCTGCGCGAATTTCGTCTGTTTGACGCTGATAAACGCGTAAAGCGCTACCACTAAGAAACATTACAAACCAATTCAATTGTTGGTCAGGGGTCCACCCATTAAATGTGGCATAACGTTGAAATTTTTGCAGCCACTCGTCATAATCCTCAGTAGGAGAACCGTGAAAAACTGGCGACTGAAGGCCACTTGCTCTGGGAGGCGCCCCGGCAATTTGATTTTGATGTGCTTGTAGTCGGTCTGTCATTTCTTGCAAGAGATCGAGAAGACCAGGTTGAAGGGCTTGGGCTTCCTCAGCCATCATTGGGCCCGTGGGAAAAGCTGGAAACTCTGTTTCTAAATAAGATACTGGCGAGAGAGAAGAATCTGAATCTGAAGACGGAAAATGGTCGTTCCCAACCCGAGATGTACAATTACCTGTACACCATGCAGCGTGCGGAGTCAACACCAAGAGGATCTACATTGTGAGAGCGCGTTCGCCTAGATATTGGTTGGTCGTTTTCGGAACTAGATTCTGTTACGTTCATTAACTACACTACCCACACTTATTTATACAACATAATATTAAACATTAAAAGTCAAGTCTCCACATACACAACGGCAGCTAGTTAACAAACTGTCACAGCCTAATGGAAGAAATAATTAATGTTTACCTTACTTTGCTAATTGATTTGTGGCAAAATATCCATTATCTCTTCTCATTATGCTTTGGATAATATTTGCCTGCACGAACATTTTACCTGCTCTCAAGCAAACATTTTCTGTTATTTTATTTTTACCTAAAATTTTGTGTATAAGTGATAATGTTTCGTAACAAATGTATTAACTCTAAAAACTGTAAATATCAGCTTCACGTTTTTCTCCAGTGTTTCATCATATTTACCAGTGAGTAAAGTTTGAAATTATCATCTTGGATGATAGCAGTGATATTCAATCATTTTGAAGAGCTTGCAACCAACGTGACGTCACAAATTAGCGGACATATTCACGCTCATTTACATATCAAACAAACTGAAATATCTCGGGAACAAACCATAAAAACAAGAAACTGAAAAATAAGTTGCACTACAGTTTAAAAATTTAAGAAAATAAGAAATTTCATGTCATATGCACTATAAATACTTGTGGTCTATTTGTTTGACTGTCCCTGCTTGTATTGATGTTCTCAATATCCGCGAGGGGATATGTCGTTGTGAAATGTACCCTTGGTTTGCACTTGCTAAATACTTTAAACAAAAACGTCAGCAAACATCGACGATACGCTGTACTTGTAACGTAATAAATTATAGGATTTATAGCTGACGTAGAAAGTGCCAGTGCCACAGTCATATGATGCCAGTTTGTGCCAATTTTTACCACATCCAACTTGTGTAAAAGATAATATACTTGATTTGGACTCCAACATATAAGAACAACAAATGAAGTCGCTGCGCACATGCGCAGTAGCTGTTTCTCACGGTGTGGTCGTATACTGCTGTCAAGGTTCTGATGGTAAAATTTTCTATACAACGAAAGTAACACTAGAACCAGAATCAGTGATGGTAGAATAAATTTCAGTAAAATTTCCAGAGTTGCCACCATTTCTCTTGTTTGGTAGTTCTTATATTTCCATTGGCAAGGTGTTCTAAAGTCGTTTGTTGGACTCATTTCTGTTAAATTTGGCGCGTTTGCAAGTAAACTTAGCACCCAAATGAACAAAACACAAACTTTCACTTTCGTTGAAGATATAGCAATTCTGTATTTGAAAGGATATTGTACTGCCAGCCATCTCTCAGTTGATAAAAACGTCACTGTATAGACAGATACAACGCCAAACAAAAATAACATGAATTGTGAGCAAAGACCACGGCAGTATATTTCTCCTGCAACTCCACGGGGAGAATCCACCAAATGTGCTGGGAGAATAAGAGTTGGTGTTATCAAAATTGCAATCCCTATAAAAATGTAAAAATGTGGATGACAGAACGCTACAAGGCATAACATTATGAGCTACGAGGCATAACATCAATACACACACAAAAAAGAAAAAAATAATAACTTGTTAGTACAGAACAATGCCTTAGGACATAATTAGGTCCCTTTTTGTTTTTCGGGAGAGTATAAAATTACTGTAAAAACGGCGGTGATTTGAAAATATATTGCATTTTATTGTACTATCAAAATGAATCGAGTCCCAGCGCAGTATACAGCAAATATCTCTCACAATGGTTGTGATGTCCAATCTAAAGTGTGCACTTCCAGTGCAGACATGTAAACACGATGTGATAAAATATATAAATATTAAAGATAGGGTACAACCGGTCTGCGCATGCGCACATAGGAGTCTCCTGCCGTGATATAAACACTTTAATTAAGTTTTTATTTCATTTAATGTTCTTGCAAAGCCTGATTGTTGTATCTTGAACCCCATCTTTAACTGTTTGTCACACAACGATACGGGGTATGGGGAGTAGCGTTAAGAGTTGAAGTTCTGAGCAATTTCAGAACTCTGTCGCCGCCCAGAGATAACATATTACTTAGAATCAAATTTCTCGTGAGAGCGAAACGCAATTTTTGTATCATCGCCCATGTTTGTATGTTTTAAACTCCAATGTAAAATAAAAGATGTATACTTTCAAACATCAAACCTCGCATCCAGACTTTTAGTTCCACAAGCGAAACTTTCAGTATACTTATAAACTTTCAGTCATAGCCATATAGGCGAAATTTTCCAGTTTTGAGAGCAAACTAATTGTTTTGCCGCGTTTAGAAGCTTTCAAAATGGTTTAAGACTTTTAAAATAGATAAAAATTTAGTATTTTCAACCCTCGACCTCAACTTTTGACCCTCGACCTCGACGTATGACACTCGACAATTACCCAAACTCGGGGGGGGGGGAGGAAAAAAAATTTCAGACGTACCATTTTTCACGAACTTACCGAAATTTGTACAATTTTCCAGTAATATTTTCGTAAGTTTATCAAAAATTTTCCTACAAGTATTCAGTTTTCAACAAATTATGTAATTTTTTGCTGAATTACATGTTTTTTGCCCGACGAGCGTGTCAGTTAAAACTGCCCGACAAAACTGCAATACTAAGCCATTTTACCGGAAGTGATGCTTGCCATATAATAATACAACGTAATATT